TAAAATTCTCAAGAACCCTAATTTCTTCAGATCTTCTCAAATTTCTGAGAAAATGAAGGTTGTCGGTGCAAATGTCCACTTCCAGAAGTTAGAAGCCAAGTGCTCATCACCAACATTCTTTCAAAGCTATCTGCAAATGATAGCCGCTCAAGAACTCTCCGAATTTCTTCAAATGGAGATTCGCCTCAAATTCGAGGAAGAAGTTCTTGAATTCAACAGAAATGGAGAGGTCAAAACTGTTCATTCAAAGAAGAACCCACAGAGGACGTTTCCAGTCATCAAGTCCACTGTTGGAGGTACAAAAGTGAAGCTTTCGCAAAAGAAATTGGGAGAAAAGCTTCGCCTTCCCAATTTTGGAGTTGAAGTTGGGAAATTTCCAGTCAAAAATCTGGACTGGAACATCATTGGAATCTCTGCGCAAGTTCCTTCTGGCCCAGCAAAGAAAGCAGATCTAAACAACGATTACAAGTTGGTTTTGGAACTGGTCATCGCCTGCCTCGAGTGTGGAAGTGGAGGTCATGCCGATGACATCACCCAGGAGAGAGCCTTCATCATCAACTCTCTCATTACCAAAACTAAGGTAAACTGGGATGCACACTTTTTCAAATCCATTTCAGAACATCTAGGAAAGCACAATTAGAAGTATCTCTGTCAAGGTCTGTATATTGGACATATTTTGGAATAAATGGGCGCTGCAGTTAAAGGGAAAAAGTATGAAGCCAGATACTGGCTATACTACTTATCTTACAAAGGAGAAAACAGAGCTAGTGCTAGTGCCACTGCAGAAGAAAGCTCATCAGACAATGTTCCACTCATCAATTTCGCAAAGACTACCAAGAGAAAGCATGTGGTGTCTCCCTCTCCTAGTACTGAAGCACCACAGAATCTTGCTCCAATAAATCTTGAAGAAGAAGAAGAATCCTCTGACCAAGGAGAACTTCAAAGGAAGAAGAAGAGGAAGATCAACTCTCCATCAACATCTGGAAATGTCAATCCGGATGAGTTGAAGGAGAAGGAACCTGCTGAGGAAACCTCTGCTCAAAACCGGAGCCCTCAACAACTTGAAGAAGAAATTCCTCAAGTCCAAAGCCTTCCAACCTCAT